AGGGCCTCAGGCATGCAAGGCAAGTGCTCTACCACTGAGCCACCTTCCCAGCCCATGTCTCCCAGGTTTTGCATCTGCAATGTAGGAACAATAAATGCCAGCCACCCAGTGGTGCTGATGAACTCTATATGTAAAGTGTTGACAACTCTGGCTTGTGCCAATTACTCAATAATATTAGCTCTTGTTGTTGTTGCTCAGCAGAGGAGATGACAGGAAAGTGTCAATTAAAGTCCTTTGGATGCCAGTCCCCTGCTGACCTTGTTCAGCAGCCTGTCTGAATTAACAGCCAAGCAGAGAAAGCATGTGGAAGTGCTCCTTAGACAAAGAACAAGCCAGGTGTCTGAATACTCTGCAGTTGTGAGGCTAAGGCACCATATCCCTCCACTCAAGAAAAGAAGCCACATTTCAATGAGGATTGTTCCCACTGTGGGGGAGACCAGAGTGGGACAGGACTGCATGAAACTCTCCCTAACTTCAAATAGTGGTCCTGCTCTGAGAAGTAGCAAAGCTTTGTATATGACTCCTTTCCCATGGGTGAGCATTAACCATCATCAATGATTCATTCCAAGTTTCCATTTCTCTCTGAAGAGGGTTGCTAATGGGAAGATACCCTGGCATAGCAGCAAAGGGGTGGACACACCAAGCATTTGCTCCCTTGTTTGGCCAGTCAGAGAGACGGCAGGCTTGACATTTTACTTTTATTGGCTGAGGATGAGGTTGCTAAGCAACTTCCTTACCTTGGTAAAAATTCTGTACTTCTCAGTACCCAAGCTTGTCTTTCCTGTTTCTCAATAAGTATCTATCTCTTTCTTTCCACCCTCTCCTCTTTTTTTGTGTTGGTCATGGGGCTTAAACTCTGGGCCTGAGCACTGACCTCTTCAGCTCAAGGCTAGTGCTCTACCACTTGAGCCACAGAGCCACTTCTGGTTTTCTGGTAGTTAATTGGAGATAAGAGTCTCACGGACTTTCCTGCCTGAGCTGGCTTTGAACCACAATCCTCAGATCTCAGCATCCTGTATAGCTAGGATTACAGGGGTGAGCCACTGGTGCCTGGCTCTCTCCTCTTCTTCCTGTTCACTTACACATTTTCTCTTTCATGTATGAGCACTCACATATATGTATACATTTTTCTTCCTCCTCCTCCTCCTCCTCCTCCTCCTCCTCCTCCTCCTCCTCCTCCTCCTCCTCCTCCTCCTCTTCCTCCTCCTCCTCCTCCTCCTCTTCCTCCTCCTCCTCCTCCTCCTTCTCCTCCTTTTACTCCTTCTTCTCTTTGGTAGTACTGGGGATTGAATTCAGGATCCTGAACTTGGTAGACAAGTGCTCTAGTATCTGATCCATACCTTCCAGCCTCTTTCTGTGTTGGTTCTTTTCAAGGTAGAGTATTGCTTTATGCCCAGGTTATCTTGGGCTGCCATCTTCTTATTTGTACTTCTCTACATTGCTGGGGATGACAAATGAATATCACCATTGATTGAGATGGACTCTCTCAAATTCCTTTTTGCCTAGGTTGGCCTTGAACTCTGATCTGTGTTCTAGGCCAGACCTTCTCTCTTACTTATCCTTTGCTTGCCTTCACCAGCATATCACCAGCATGATTTAGCTATGCACACCTGGGATTCACAAGTGTGCAGGTGGTAGCCCAAAGGGAAGGAAAAGATACTAGAAATGAAAGTCAAGTTGGAGTGGGCCTCTGTCCCTACAAGTACCCCCTTCCTGCCTCCCACAATCTGTCATCACCGGTGCTCTTCTTACAGGTGCCCCAGGCCACACTGGTTCCACGTCCATGAGTCCATCAGCAGCCTTGTCCACAGGGAAGCCAATGGATGGCCACCCCAGCTACATGGACACCCCCGTGAGTGCCCCACGGACTCTGAGTGCAGTAGGAACTCCCCTCAATGCCCTAGGCTCTCCATACCGAGTCATCACTTCAGCCATGGGCCCTCCCTCAGGCGCACTGGCAGCCCCACCAGGAATCAATTTGGTCGCCCCACCCAGCTCTCAGGTATGTGTTCTTTCCCTCCAATGGTTCTACCATCTTTAGTGGCTTCCCCCAGATTACCTGAGGGGTAGACCTAACAGTTGGCAAGTGCTCGCTGTGTGGCGGCAGGAGACAGAATGTCTGCCAAGTGCCCTCAGACAGGGCCTCACTGCACTGTGCATGCTTTCAGCTGAGAAGTCCTGGGGAATTGGCCATGACTTGTGGCCCAAGAGACCTTAACCAAAAGGAGATTCCCTGGTGGGCTGAATGCTCTAGCTCTGGCTGTGATTTCAGTGTCTGTTAGTGACAATTGTGTCATAACAAGTTGACCCTCTTTATTCTCCTGATTCCTATTGTGTATCAAAGCCATGGCATACCATGTGCTTTTGTTAAGGGGATACAGAAATGATCAGGATGTTGTCTTTGCTCTCTAAGAGCTTTCAACTGATCTTTCAACTGGGAACAGATAGACATGGCACATAGATAAACATAGACTAAGACATCATAATACACACATGTTGGCTTTCATGGTAACTCAAGGGGGACTTTACCATAACCCTGAGTGCCTTCTGCTGTGTGCACACAGTAGACTTAGATTGCTGCTGTGTGTGCTATAAGACAGCAGAATACCATTTCTTTCCTCTAACAATGGCACACTGAGATCACTCTTCTTCCCCTCCTTGGAGTGGTTGGCTACTGCTAGAATAAGACCGCATAAAAAATGATTCGCAATTCACTGATGCTTACAAAAACAAGCATTCATCTCTGAGTTTGCAATACAAACATTTGCCTTCCAACTCACAAGTCTGTGACAAAGATGGCTGTGCTTCCGATGCTGGGTGAGCTGGTCTTAGCTTCAGGCTATCAGGAGTCTCTTTGTCATGTTACAGGCTGAAGCAGCAACATCTACTGGAGTTTGCTTTTCTCATGGTCTCTTACATGAGGGGAAAAGACCAAACCAAATTCACACACCCCAGTGAAGCCTCTGCCTCCCTCGTGGCTGACAAAAACTGGGCAGCCAGTTCCAACAGCAATGATGGCTGGCAGGGAAATAGGCTGTGTTCATTCCTGTGGGATACACAAAGACTCAGCTCAAGCATATTTGGCATCAGAAGTGAATAATTTGGAACAATAATCCTACCTTCTATACCTCATTCTCTTCCAGTATAACAACCAGTCTCTGCTGCCCACACTAATAGCCTACTTTGGGGCAGAATTGGTAGTCTTTATGATGGTCAACTTGTTTGGGTAATGGGGTGCCCAGATATTTGGATAAACTATATTCTGGGTGTTTCTGTGATGATATTTTGGGATAGGATTGACAATTAAATAGGTAGTGCCTACCTCAATGTGGTTAGACATCATTCAATCACCTGAAGGCTAGAATAGAACAAATTCCCCACCCCAAATAAGGATGGTGTACCACCTGAGAGGTCATGGGATTTTATTTGTTTGTTTGTTTGTTTTTCTGCCTTTGGACTTGAAGTGGAACATTGACTTATCCTGGGTCTTGATCCTGCTGGCCTTCAGGGGTGTCAGCGTTTTGGGGTCTCCAGTTTGTTAACTCATACTACAGATCTTGGGTTTTGTCAGCCTCTGAATCCATGTGAGACAATTTCTCCTAGTAACCCCCCTAACCCCCAGGAATCTGGTGCAGGAAATACCACATTATGCAGGGAACTCATAATGAGGTAAGGTATGTGCTGTTCCAGATGCTACAGCAAAACCTAAGGGCAGCAGAAGGGGACCTATGAACCAATCGCATCAGTGCGAGTCTGCACAGAGGCATGGGACAGGCAGAGGTGGAATACATACATACATACATACATACATACACACACACATGCATTCATACATACACACATACATTCATACATATACATACACATACATACATACATACATACATACATACATATACATTCATACATACATACATACATACATACATACATACACACATACACACACATATGCATTCATACATACACACATACATTCATACGTACATACATACACACACACATATACATTCATACATACATACATTCATGCATACATACATACACACACATATACATTCATACATACATACATTCATACATACATACATACATACATATATACATACACACATACATACACATATACATTCATACATACATACATTCATACATACATGCATATATATATATATATATATATATATACACATATATATGCCATTCTCACCCAGGTAGATTGGCAGAGCCAATGATATCTCATCTTTCGCAATGTAAACAGTTCTTCTCATTCACTTTCTTTGCTGTGGAAAGATACCAGCAAGAAGTCAAAACCAGAAAGATGATGTGGGGTCCTTGAAAAGGGCAAGAGTGTCATTTGAATGACCATGTTTGAGGACCTACTATGCATAGATGCCACCTGACACTGCCCTCGATTTTGGGGAAAAACACCAAATACAGGTGGCAATTACATCCTAGCAGTCAAGATGAGCAAGAACCCAGAGAATAAACAAGTGAGATAGCAGTCATTATATCGCTGGAGAAATGAGCCAGGCTGAGGTGAGAGAGAGTGGCAGTGCTTATGGGTAGGATGAGAACAGCCATCATCCCTCGGGGCTGCTTTTAGCAACCACACTGAAGTCAGACTGAGCCAGTAAATTCATCTCCACAGCCGTGTGAGTGGCAGGGCCGCTATTCCTGGACTGTATGTCTGTACAGAGGGATCGGGGTTGAAAGGGCAGCTGAAAGTTTTGGTCTTGGCCAACTGGGCTGTGTGTAGAGGCCAAGGCCAAGTTTGGCTTTTGGGAGCTATATTAAGCTTGCCAAGTGCTGGTCAAGCAGCCTCGGACACTGAACAGTGTTCTGAGCTTCGGCTCCGGAACCACAGGGAATCAGAACTTTGCACAACTTAACCAGATGACACAGAACAGAAGGACTTGGTGTTAGTCACTGGGACTTGGAGACTCTGTCATTTTGGAACAGGTTATTCCTATACATCCTGCTTTCCCTGCCCCCTTCACCTTCAGGAGGGCCTCAAGCCAGAAGTTCCTTTTTCATGACCTGGTGAGTACGATTTGTGCCTGGTGTGGGGTAGCAAACAGGGTCTCCCATTCAATGCCTTTGCATTTCTCCCTTTGAGCGTCTCTCTCTTCCCTTGTTGGGGTTTTTAGCTTCGGGAGGGAAGAAAATGGAACGACACTGTGCAGGCAGGGACCGTGTGACCTTTTGCAAACCACATTAGTTGGTTTCTGTTTGACTTTCCTTTTCTCTATTGGGTTACAGATACTTGTCCTCATGACCCTTAGGAATCTTTATGACTTGAAAAGGCTCTTGTTAAGGTGTATAGGCAGTGGTGTTCATACTGTTGTTATTATTATTATTCTCGGGTGATAAGCATTATCTACCTAAATGATCACTAGCTCAGGTATATTGTATTATTGAAAGGTTCTACAGAATTTTTTTTTTTTTTTCGGTCGTGAGGCCTGAACTCTGGGCCTGGGGCTGTCCATCAGCTCTTCAGCTCAAGGCTAGAGCTCTACCACTTGAGCCTCAGCCCCACTTCCGGCTTTTTCTGCTTATGTGGTGCTGTGGAATCGAACCCAGGGCCTCATGCATGCAAGGCAAGCACTCTACCACTAAGCCACCTTCCCAGCCCAGGTTCTACAGAATTTTGTTTCAGTAAGCATTCATTGGCCCTGGCACAGCTAGTCACTGGAGATACAAAAAATGTATATGATTCAGTTCTTACCTTGGGGAGCATCTAAGTGGAGTAATTTCCAAATACCAAATTCATGATTGGGGGATATATTTATGTAACTTTCAGATAAAATGATGTAGGCTACATATATGTGTGTATGTGTGTGTATGTTTGTGTGTGTGTGTGTGTGTGTGTGTGTGTGATACATTATATTTATCATATGCTATTTGTTAGCTTGACCCCAAAGAGACACTACAAGTCTTTGGAATCTCTCTTCCTAATGTCCAATGACTGACCTCTGACCTCCTGACTCCTACAGACTAACCTGTCCCTGTTGATTTCTGCTTACATATTTATTTCCAGCTGAGTTATTATTCTCTGAATATGTTTATATTTTTATAGTAAATATTTTAATAAAAATTACCCATGTAGAATGAGATCTTAAATCGAATTTGATAATTAAAAACATGGAGTCATAAAGTCTTGTCTTCAAATGAAAGCATTTTTGGAAACCAATATGCATATTAAATAAATACAGATTTAGTTAAATGAGGCAGAGGGAATATGCAGTCTCAACTTTTACTGTCTCTGTCCTCTCTGTCTGTCTGTCTGTCTGTCTGTCTGTCTTTCTCTTCCTGTCTTCCCCTTTCCCACCTTCTACCCCTTAGAACCACTGATAAGGGATTTCTATTAAGTGAAAGGATCTGATCAAGATCACTCAGTACAGAAGGGGTGGAGAGAGGTCAAGGGCTACTGCTCCTCTGACAATGACCCTAACTAGATTTAAAGGTGCTACGTGTAGGTCTGCATCCCAGATCAGAAGTGCTTACCCAAACCCTGGCCCTTGAGGGGACAATTTGAGCTGAAGACAGCTCTGAAATGTGGGACCCAATGTTCTGTGACGGCTCCAGAGGCATCCAGGAAGCATTTAGCCCTTGGCTGAGTGTGCCCAGGGAGCACAAGCCAATATGCGTCTATCCTGTTCTCAGGGTGCAGCAGCAGGTCAGACTGCCTGCTGAATTCTGGCTCTGAAGTGCCTATTTCAGCATAGCTGCCTCTAATGGACGAGATAGCCAGGGTTGGGAAATGCCGGGGCCAGGCAGCTAATAGGTTTGTATTCTGATAGCTGCCTTCCACCCCCTCTGTCGTTGTCTGAGCCCACACAAACCCTAAACCAGCTGGAGATCTAGTCAGAAGAGAGAACATCAACCCACCTGGCCTAGGCGCTCTGTGCCATCATTACCTGATGTCAGGAAGATCAGAATGTCTGACAGAGAGGGCTGCTGGCTCAGACCAAGGAGAAAGTACATGAAAGCAAGCCTGCCCCTCCAAAGCCTTTGGTCGAGGAGGTGAGGCAGGAAGCCATAAGTGCAGAGAGGACTGAGGCTCTCCTGCTAACCCCTGCCCCCTCCCACCCTCATCCTTACCCTCGCCCTCTACCCCATTTCTTCTCCTACTGTGCAGAGAACATGTAGGTGGAGGAATGATAGCCAGGGTTGCAAGATCCTTGGAATCTAGCACCAACTAGTCAGACCTGGCAAGGTACTTAACCTGGTGCCAGGGCAGGTGATTTGGCCTTGGGTGTCTCCTCCAATCTTTCCTGAGGCTGCTGCCACCTTATATCACCAAGGTAGAAATTCAAGAGCATTCTTTCTTATCCCAAAACTTCTAGTAGTTCTTTTCTGTCTCCCAAACTAAATCCATCCTGCTAGCCAGGGCATTGAACTTCCAGGTCACCTTTCAATCTCATCTACTACCCCAATCCTGGGCACTTCACACTAAAAGTACCTGGGCTTCCCTCCAGGTCTTTGTACTCAAAACCTTTTACCCACATCATTGATTGGCCCCTCCAAATCCTTCCTTTGACTCTGTGTGTGTGTGTGTGTGTGTATGGATGTGTGTGTGTGTGTGTGTGTGTGTGTGTGTGTGTGTGTGTGTGTGTGATTCTTGGGGCTTGAACTCAGGGCCTGGGTATTGTCTCTGAGCTTTTGTGCTCAAGACTAGCAGTCTACCACTTTGGACCACAGCTCCATTTCTGGATTTTTGGAAATTAATTGGAGATAAGAGCCTCATAGTCTTTTCCTGCATGGGCTGGCATTGAACCATGATCCTCATATCTGAGTAGCTAGGATTATAGGCATAAGCCACCAGTTCCTGGCTCCTACCTACTTCTTGCAAGCTGTTAGATCCTAACTTAAGTGCCACTTCCTTCAGAAAGTCTTCCCTGATCTCTCAACAAGTGATCTTTCCTTTCTTAACTATCCTAGCTTACTTATATCTTCCCCATGCTTCCTCAAGGCTCTGTCTGAGTCTTCTTTCTTTCAGCATCGCCATACTGTTTCTGAATGAACAAATAGCTAAACAAGTTAAAGCTCAATGTATATAAGAAAAATATAGGAAAAATACAGTGAGATTTTCTGAGTAAGCTTCCCTAGATGGATGCACTGCCATAATTACTCTTTTGTGGTCACTAAGAGCCTACAACAGCAGAGCGGTGTCAGGCAAAAATGGTCCAAGTTCCCTAGAGCTAGTGGTGGCCACCTCCATGATCCTTTCCATGATCCTTCTTGTTCCTCTGAGGATCTGGTCAGCTAGAGAGTTCTCACTGTGGGCTTGTCAAACCTCAATGATTATATTTTATGAGATGCATCCAAGTGTTGATTTCTATTGTATTGAGGCAGTCAGGTAAAGCTATTGCCTAGAATTCATTCTGACAGAACTCAGCCCACAAACGAGTACTTCTTAATCATTGCTATATGTTAGTGAGATCTGGTGAACTGAAAAAAAATCCCATTGTGAAGAGCCTTTCTTAGTCTCTCTCAGTGAGAACCACTCAGCATGAACACCGATACTCAGTTTTCTCAAAGCTCCCAGCCTGTTGGCATCCAAGTTGAGATCCACTGTAGCACCCCAGAACAGAACAAAGCATTGGCTGCAAGTCCCCTGAGCCTTGTCTTAATCTCCTGTGTCTCAGCTATCACATGTGCTTTCATCCGTGGTACAAATTATTATTACTATTTTTTTTAGTTTCTGGTGACTGATTTCAAAACAAGGGGCTGAAGGCTGTGTTATTTTTTAAAGTTTTAATTTTTGTGCTGGTACTAAGGCTTGAATTCAAGACTCACACTCTTGCTCAGCTTTTTAATTTTTTTTATTGTAAAGATACTGTACAGAGGGGTTACAGTTACATGAGTAAGGTAATGAGTGCATTTCCTATTGAGCATTGTTATCTTGCTTGGATTTTTTGCTCAAGGATGACTCTACCACTTGAACTACACCTCTACTCCTGGCATTTTGCCAGTTAGTTGCAGATAAGAGTCTTACAGACTTCTCTGCCCAGGTTGGCTTCGAACAGTGATTCTTTGTTCTCATTTTCTCCAGTAGCTATGACTGCAAGTATGAGCCACAGCACCCAACCTGTTTTTTGTGTATCCCTCTCCGTGTTTAACACAGAGCCCCTCTCACCTTCCATGCTCACTAAATATTGACTTAGTGAATTGAAAAGCCAGTGGTTTTAGAAGGATTCCAAATCAAGTTCTATTAGAGTTCATGTTTTTATAGATGATTCCTTTAGTCTCAAAGACTTTCAATCAAGAGGAAAATCCTACCTTTGGTTCAGTTGGAGGATTACAGGCACTGTGGTTTATCGAAAAGAATTCACAATTCAGATTGGTCTACAGGAAGTCCATGGTCCTCCCTTCAGCCCTCTGAGGTTTATGGATGCCTCTTCTGGACACACTGCTTTTATTTGAACTTTTTAAAAATAAGTATTCTTAATTGTTGTGTGTGTTATCATTATCTATTGAGACTGTAAGTCATTGAGGAATAGAAATAAACCTTCTAGGTTTTACATTCCCTTCCCAAAGCCTAGAATGTTCTATATCCCCATGGGCATACAGAAGTTTTTCTGATTGGATGCCTGCCTTGGCTGGTTTTCTCTTATGGAGGCAGAGCCGCAGCTTCTTGGTCAAGAGCACTGGGAGACGTGAGGGTAGAGTGGAGAGTAGATTGGAACTTGTAATCAGGGCTGCAAGCTTCACTTATTCAGCCACCCAACTCTACTACTTCCCCACTACTTGCTGGGCCCCTCGTCAGAAAACAGCAGACATAGTCTCTGGCTCTCCAGATTTCATGCTTTCATGAAAACATAATCTGTTCATTACAAACAAGTTCCCAAACACGACCTTTTGGCTCTGCTCAATTCTTGGTGCTACTGCAATTGGTTTGGGCATTCAATGGGCCTCTTAGAGAGGCCAAGTCATGTGTATCTTTCTCTTCCATTTGATTGTGAATTCCTGGTGTACATTTTTATTTGCCTTCAGACCTCAAAACCTGGCGCAGCACTGGGAATTGTCTATTGATTAATAAATGGATTTGTGTTTTTTGCTAGGTTCACTCAGGCCTGAGGGCTATAGCGTTTCTTGGAGCACTGCTAAGTTGGCACTCAGTAGTTGTTAAAAAAATTTTAACAGGCACAGCTGACATTATCCTAGGTGCACCATTCTGGGATTTCCAGCTCAAGTAAACCTCATGAGTACAACAAATGAAAGCAGAGACTAATACAGATGTGTTGCATGCTAGGTGTTGGTTTTAGCTCCTAGAAATGAGTTCATTTCTCTTGGGTACCTTTTTCCTCGCCTTAAGTTTCAGGTCTTCTGTGCTTGGGATCTACTTCTTGATATAAAGCTTGTCTTTTCTCAAGTGCACCCTTGTTGCTATAGGCCTGAGGTGCTGGGTTTGCCCTGGCTATACTTCACTGTGCTTTGTTTTTGTGTTGCAGCTAAATGTGGTCAACAGTGTCAGCAGTTCTGAGGATATCAAGCCCTTACCCGGGCTTCCTGGGCTTGGAAACATGAATTACCCATCTACCAGCCCTGGGTCTCTGGTGAAACACATCTGCGCCATCTGTGGGGACAGATCCTCAGGTACAGGTCCATTTGCTCACTGCCCACTTGGGCACTTTGTGCTCAAAGACACGAAAATGGCCTTGAGAGTAGCCCACTGTGGACTCCGGGGTAAATTCTTGTAACTGGGCTGGGAACATGCCAACATAATGAACCTAGAATGTGATCTTTGGCTTCTAGGATTAGATTTATTAGAGTGACATTTGATATTGCATGTATCCAGCAAAGCTAAGCTGCAGTGATGATTAAATATTCCATAGACTATTTTCCTTAATTTTTATTAAGATATATATTATTAAAAATTTTATTGTAAAGATGATGTATAGAGGTTACAGTTACATAAATCAGGCAATGAGTACATTTCCTTTTGAACAATGTCTATCACCCACTCCCTCATTCTCCCCTAGTTTTCTCCCTCCCATCTACTCTCACCCCAAGTGATATCATTCTAATATAGTGTCTAGTGGATATTACTGCTGAATATTACTGCTGAATCCTACATTTTCTGTGCTTCCCCTTCCCCTCCCCAAGCCAGATAGACTCATATACAAGACAAAGGGTACAGAAACGAAATACAGTGACTAAAGGGAATAAACCAAAGGAAAAAGTAAAGAAAAAAAAAGAACCACAAAAACCTCTTGTTTCCATTTCTTGGAGTTCATTTCAATAAGCACCATTTTATATGGTCATATGCACATAGTTATTGAGTCCTTGTGATCCCCTCTTAAGAATACCCTTCTTTGGTCTCACTGTGTGCATGTTTTTGAGTGCTGTTTAATTAATTACATCCAAGAGTAATTATTTGTCTTTTACTATCTATTGAGTTTACTTGTAGATTTATAGGCAGATTCTAATTATTACAAATGAGGGAAACCATGCAGCCTATGTTTCTTGTAGCCAAAAGGGAGCACTATTACATTGTTGGTAGGAATGTAAACTTGTTCAACCACTCTGGAAAGCAGTATGGAGGTTCCTTAAAAGACTAAACATAAGCTGGGTGCTGGTAGCTCATGTCTGTAACCCTAGCTACTCAGGAGGCTGAGATCTGAGGATGGTTGTTCAAAGCCAATCCAGGAGGAAAGTTCATTAGATTCTACCACCAGAAAACTGGAAGTGGTACTCTGGCTCAAGTGGTAGAGCACTCGCCTTGAGCTGAAGAGCTCAAGGACAGTGCTTAGGCCCAGAATTCAAGCCCTGTAACAACAACAACAACAAAAAGACCAAACATAGATCTCCCTATGACCTAGCATTTATCCAAATGATCACAAACCAGGCTATACTAAAGCCACTAGCACAACCATGTTCATTGCAGCATTGTTTACCATAGCTAAGATGTAGAATCAACCCTGATGCCCCTCAGTGGATGAATGGATCAAGAATTCTATGCTTCCATCAGAAAGAATGGCATTGCCCATTCAGAAGGAAATCAAAAGACTTGGAAAAAATTATATTAAGTGAAGTAAGCCAGACCCAAAGAAACTGAAAATATTTTTATAATTATAAAATGTACTGAATATTTATGAAAAGAAAACAATAAAAATTTGGGAGGACCACTAAGGTACAAAGGAAAAGTGAAAATTTACCCATAACATCCCCAAGATAAACCTTTCACCATATCTTCTTTAACAACATTATAAAATTTTAATATTCTTTTATCAGTACAAAGATGTTTTCAGATTTATCTTCTTTCAGCTTCTTTTGACCCAAATAATTTATTTCTGGACTACCCTCCCTTCCTCTACAGTTTTTCCTCTCCTTATTCCCCTCTTCTTTGCCAGTTTTAAACATTTGAATCTCTGATTTTGATTATTTGAAGAATAAGAAGGCCGAGCATAGTGATGCATGCTTGTGATCCTAGAACTTAGGAGGCAAAGACAGGAGGCTCATGAATTTGAATCCAGCCTGGGCTACACAACAAGCTACTGGAGAAAGAAGGGTGAGGAGAAAAGAAGAAAAAAGGAAAAGAAAATGAAGAGGAAGAGGAGAAAGTCGAGGAGGAGATGGAGGAGGAAGAGGAAAGGATTCTTTTCTGTAGCTGTCCATGATGGCTGCCTCACTCTCTAATTATCATCAAAACTGCTGCAAAAGCCAGGCACCAGTGGCTCACATAGCTACTCAGGAGGCTGAGATCTGAAGATTGTGGTTCAAAGCCAGCCTAGGGAGAAAAGTCCATTGAGACTCTTATCTCCAATGAACCACTCAAAAAAGACAGAAGTGGCACTGTGATAGAATGATAGCCTTGAGCACAAAGAGGCTCAGGAATAGCACCTTGGCCCTGAGTTCAAGCCCACAACCACCACCACCAACAACAACAAAAACTGGTTCTTCCATTGGAAGTTCCAGATACCTGGAACTTATCTTCATGGCCAATGTTTGCTTGTTCCCACAAAGTCATTACTAATCTTGTCAAATCTTACCATAATAGAATGGTGCCTAGCAAAGCATAATTCTCTGCCACAGTTATTCTAGATGAAGGTGTGATAGGGTCATACATCTGTAGCAAAGCCATGGAATGACTGAGTCATACATTCGACAAGTTGTCAGCATCAAATATTTCAGAGCTGAGAGCATTAAGTTCTTTGGGCCCAACATAACAATTCCATGTTTATCTTCACAGTAAATTCAGGAAATTAGTGTATTCACTCATTAGGCACAGGCTAGCTTTTTTATCAGTCAGGCTATCTCTAGCCACTATTTCATCATAGAGTGGCCTCCTCTGAAATGTAACCTCTAAGGTACAGATAGCTACATTTGCCATTTCTCAGAGACTTCGGTGCATTTTGCTATCAATCTAAATGAAATAGATTAGAAAGTCATGTCAGCTCTGTGCCTAAATAGCAACATATTTTATTCATATATAAAAATCAAACCTAAATACCTTTTTTATTTTGATAAACATTATTCTAGCAGATCATATGCACATAGGTATTGAGCCTTTTTGATCCTTTCCTAAGAATAGCTTCCTTAGGTCTCACTGTGGAATGTTTATAGTCCCATATAATCCAAAATATATTTTAAAAGATCTTCTTATGTATTTTTTTAGTTCTATAATTTCAATTAACTGAGCACAGCCACCTTGCATACAGTTTTTTTTGTTTGTTTTTTGTTTTTTAATTTTTTGGGGGGGGGGCCCAGTCGTGGGGCCTGAACTCTGGGCCTGGGCGCTGTCCCTCAGCTCTTCAGCACAAGGCTAGTGCTCTATCACTTGAGCCACAGCGCCACTTCCGGCTTTTTTCTTTTTGCTTATGTGGTGCTGAGGAATCAAACCCAGGGCCTCAGGCATGCCAGGCAAGCACTCTACCACTGAGCCACCTTCCCAGCCCTTGCATACAGTTTTGATAAGACTTCTGCTTAGAGTACTGAGATTGAATCATGATACCTAGCGCTGGGAGTCGGGGGTTGCATGTTGGCTCTCCTGTCATTAATCATTTCTGCTTGGGGTAGTTGCAGGTCATAAAGGAAATGCAAATTATTCAAGATAAAGAAAAAATGCCTTCTATCACATCTTTATATCCTATCTCAATATCAGATATCATATTATGTTATAAGAGCATGTACTAATTTGTTTCATCAACAGGCAATCACACTTAAAAATTCTTAAGTCAGGACGCTGCTCATAATTTATGGTGAAGGATAATAATTTTAAGTGTATTTCCTAAGATCTCCACCTCAATTTTGGAGAAACATTAGTTAAACTTAGGCATTTTTCCTGTTAGGTAATATATGATAAGAAAACATTTTTTTAAAATTCATATACCTAACATTTTTTGTGTGTGTGCCAATACTGGGACTTGAACTCGGGGCCTGTGTGGTGTTCTTTAGCTTTTTTTGCTCAAGGCTGGTGTTCTACCACTTGAGCCCCATGTCTAGCCTTTTGTTGGTTAATTGGCACTAAGAATCTCACAGACTTTCCTGCCTGGGCTAGCTCAAATTACAATCCTCAGATCTCAGCCTCTTGAGTAGGTAGGAATGTAGGCATGAGCCACCGATAATGCCTGGTTACACTAAGATCTTGAATTGAGGTAGGGCATTTGCTTAGGCCAAGTCTGAGGGTTATCTTGATGAAAATAATGTAAATAAAATCTTAGGTCAGGAATTCTCTGATGATGTTGTGTGGAGTTGGAGAAAGACCCATAGAGATGTATATTTACTGTCTTAGCTTGGTTTCTGTGATCTCTCCTTGCATTCCTTTGCTAATTAATATTTTCAGTCTATACCAGGACCCAGGGCATGTACCTATTTCCTGGGGGAGGAGGAGAGGAGAGTCAAAGGATTGTTTGAATGACAGATCCAGAGAAACAAAACCACTTATGGAATGTTCTTTTCTTTTACCCAGGAAAGCACTACGGGGTATACAGCTGTGAGGGTTGCAAAGGGTTCTTCAAGAGAACCATAAGGAAAGATCTGATCTACACCTGTCGGGATAATAAAGATTGCCTCATTGACAAGCGCCAGCGCAACCGCTGCCAATACTGTCGCTATCAGAAGTGCCTTGTCATGGGCATGAAGCGGGAAGGTAAGACAAGGCACCTGTCAAGTGTGGACTCAAGGGAGAGCCAGTTACACTGTATAGGAAAAAGCCTCACTGCATTGGACTGCAGGGAAGGGAGAGGCCTGATGGGAGGTTGGGATGCCTTGGGTACCATGATTTTTCAAGGAAAGATCTATCTCTGGAGCACAGAATGCAAGAGGCACCCCCTCATCACTGCCTCCAGACACTGGCCCCCATACTGGGCCCTCTCCTTTTTTGTCATTTTTTTCCAATCACTAGGCAGCAAGTCTCAGAGTTGAGGTTTCCGAGTGCCATACTCTGCTCTGCTAAGAGAATGCCAGACTGGCCTTCTCCTCTGGTCTCCTTCTGTGGTTCCCTCCATGTTGTTTAAGGATTATTGGCATTTCCAGGTCTGACAACCTAGTCTTCTTATTCACAGACACCCTCCTTGTGCATTTCAGTGTTACATCTCTTAATTTATAGTGTAGCTAAGAGGGGTGTTGGAGTATCTGAGAAAAACAAATCTAAAAGTGCTTTTGGTTTCTTTTTTTTTTTTTTGTCCGGTCGTGGGGTGTGAACTCTGGTCCTGGGCGCTGTCCCTCAGCTCTTCAGCTCAAGGCTAGCGCTCTACCACTTGAGCCACAGCGCCACTTCCGGCTTTTTTCTTTTTGCTTATGTGGTGCTGAGGAATCGAACCCAGGACCTCACGCATGCAAGGCAAGCGCTCTACCACTGAGCCACCTTCCCAGACCCATTGTGGTTTCATCTTTAAAGATGGAAAAGCCATTCCCTTAAGTAACACAAATAAACTGACACAGGCAGTAAATTAACTAGAAGACTTGAGCAGGTTTGTGACGTTAGTGGTGAATCTTAATAGACTGTAGTAAAGGCAGTCAAATCCCTGAAAACAGAGAAGAGGGGTTGAGTTAGCCCTGAGGTGCTTGCTGGGAGAAAGGGGAGTTTACGGTGAGAGCCAGTGATGGGAAAGGCCATTGAGCCTGAGGTATGGGGGAATGTCATCCACAAAGAAGCATGGTGACTGAAGAAGGACCCAAAGAAAGATAGAAAACTAGACCTGAGGAGTGGGGCAAGAGGAAGAGGTGAGGGATGAGGAGGAGGAAGTGGTGGTGTAAGAGGAAAGAAGTAGAGGAGGAAGAAGAGGTCGAGGAGGAAGGACAGGAGGAGGAGATGGAGGACAGGATGAAGCTTCTAAAAATGACTACTTCATTGTTTGTTGAGTAGCACGTACTTATGTCATATTTATCATAACAGGGGCTGATGATCTTGCAGGTTAGAGTTTACACTATGAAATAACATAATTACACTGGAGACTTCTTTCTGGCTCGATAGAATTAATAGCCCTCAGAGCCTTCTCCATCATGATTGTCACAATACATGATGTTAATGGCCACAAGACACATCCCCCACCGGCAAGCACATGATGGATGCAGGGTTATGTTATTCCTTCTAGAACATGTCAGGAGCTGGTGGCTCAGGCCTGTAATCCTAGCTGCTGGGGAGGGCGGGGAGAGGAGAAGGTGGGAGGAGGAGCTGAGTTCACAGTTTGAGCGAGCACCAGCAGGAAAGTCTGTGAGACTCATCCCTAATTAACCAGTAAAAAGCCAGAAGTGATGGCGTGGCTCAAGCGGCAGAGTGCTAACCTTGAGAACACAAGCTCACCTAAAACAAGAAACAAAACAATTTCTATTAAGCATAAAATATTGAATTAAGGCCAGGTGCCTGTGGCTCATGTCTGTAATCCTAGCTACTCAGGAGGCTGAGATCTGAGGATTGCAGTTCAAAGCTAGCCCAGACAGGAAAGTCTGTGAGACTCTTATCTCCAATTAACCACCAGAAAGCCAGGAGTGGTGCTGTGGCTCAAGTGGTAGAGTGCCTTGAGCTGAAGAGCTCAGGCCCTACCACCGACAAAAAATTGAATTAAAGGAAGGTAAATGGCCTTCTTTAGAGACAGTTTCTTCTCTTTCAGCTAGTCTCTTCCATCTGTAAAAACTCAAACTGAATATTCCCCAGGTCAGTTAGGATCAGAGTGAACAACAGGTCCATTGAAGGTACTCTCATTAAAAAGAAGAAGAAGAAAAAAGAAAACCAACAACAATTAATAAGCATCAGTGGCTTATACCTGTAATCCTAGCTACTTTGGAGGCTGAGTTTGAAAGGATTGTGGTTTAAGGCCAGCATGGGCAGAAAAGTCTGAAAGACCCCTTCTCAACCAAGATCTAGTCATGGTGGCAGGCATCTATTATCCTATCTACCACAGGAAGACTAAAATAGGCAGATCTTGATCCAAAGACATGCCTAGAAAGAGGGAGACCCTATCTCAAAGTTAACGTGGTCAAAACAGATTGGATGTGTGGCTCAGTGGTAGAGTGTCTTACTGAGTAAGCATGTAGCTGTGAGTTCAAATCCCAATACTACTAAAAAAAGGTTAGCCAAACAGGGATATGTGAAATGTAAGAGACTGATATTTTTTTATTGTTTTTAAATTTTTACATTTATTTATTTTTTATTGTGAAAATACTGTACAGAGGGGTTACAATTACATAGGCAAGATAATGAGTACATTTCTTATCAAGCATTGTAGCCTCCTCCTTTGTTTCTCCTTCCCATCCTCCGCTCCTCCCCCCACACCCAATCCTCCTCCCCCCCCCCACCAAAGTTGTAAAGTTCGTTTTTCTACATAACGACTTGTACATCTCATTGTTGCAATGGGTCCACCTGTGTCCCTATTTAAACGATTTGTTTTTTCCCTTCCCTTCCACAAATTATACCAACATCAAATAGAGTGAAAGCAGGGGTTATACCATGGGGGAGGGACATACAAAGCAACAAAGAAATAATCTTATAAATGTGTTAGAAACAATCACCTGAAAGAAAAAGAAACATTTGAATACATATCTTAGGGTTCATTTAAGAGACTGGTATTTAAAACTAGTATTTGATACCTGGATAAGAAATTGGGCCCAGGTTCTGCTTCTATATGTTTTAAAAGAACATGGAGCACAGTAATGCCAAAAAAGCTGTGAAAAGAGGAGAGGAAAGAAGCACTCAGAGAACTTTCTATGGGAGTTGTGTGCAGAGAAACCCGTCAGTTTCGCCACCCTCATTTCTGGCCTTGATGTGCAGAACCAGGGGCTCATTTTGGACTTTTCCTTGAGGACAAAAATACCCACAAAATTCTCAGACATACAATGTAAAGCCTGGAATGTATCCCAATAGCAGGAGTTGGGATTGGGATAGGTTCTGGACACCAGGACTCTTTCAGTATACATAATCGACATTTTCTCTTCTTTGATATCACACATCTACTTCCTGAAAGAAGAAATAGAGATTCAGAGAGGCTGGAGGTCTACCAATGTTTATATAGCAAGTGAATGGCAGCACTGGGACAGAACTGAGACCCTCTAAATCCCAAGCCACTTCAGAAATTCTGAAGAAGCTACTGTCATGACCACTCATTGTAGAGGTACAGTTTCAAGATAAGAGAATAGGTTGTCTTGGAGACCATTTATAAGCAGCATTCATATCCTTATGAGCCCTGTATGATATTATTATTATTACTATTATTATCATTATTGTAAGGGTGATGTACAGAGGGATTACAGTTACATAAGTTGGGTAATGAATACATTTCTTTTTTTTTAACAGTGTCACCACTTCCATCATTTTCTCCCAGTTTTTCTCCTCCTGACTCTTTCTCCCCACAGGTTGTATAATTCATTTTCAACATAGTGTCTAGTGAGTATCACTGCTGCATTAGTTCACCCTTTGTCCCTCCATTTTTGTGCTCCCCCTTACCATCCACAAATCAGATAAACTTACATACAAGACACAAGGTACAGAAATCAAAAACAGCAACAAAGGAGGGAAAAAAAATCCCCAAACCAAAATCAAAATAACAAAAAAACTTTTGTTTCCATTTCTTGGAGTTCGTTCAATAAACATCATTTTATATGATCATACGCACATAATTATTGAGCCTTTGTGATCCTCTCCTAAGAATATCCTCCTTTGGTTTCACTGTGTGAATATTTAGAGTCCTGTTTAATTTATCATGTCCATGTGTGATTTTTTTTGTCTTCTACCACCTGGATGGTCTTTGTCAATGTGACTAGAGCCTGAGAGGGAGCACAGGATATTTAGAGGTAGATTGGGGAGGCAGCCAGCCAGGGTCCATGAATCCACCCCATCACGCTTCAGTTCTTGGCCTGCAATAGGCTACCTAGATGCTCTGTGATGTCAAATGCCCCAGAGGGAACTATGAAATATGATAAGGAAATGTACTTTGAAATATGATCATTTTTATAAAGAGTTGAGCATAACTTCTGATACAGAAAGAGCTTTATAAATGTAGGCTATTGTAATGCCTACATAGAGGACTGTCAGTAACAGATACAAATCTCCTCATTCATGACAGTAAGCTCTATAGTAAAAAGGAAAAGTGAATAGCCCACATCCACCCTACTAATGGCAAAATAAGAATTAGAATCTAATTTCTTGAAGCTGTTATTTTCTTTGAAGGCTGAAGGTTATTTTCCTCAAGTTTGACAAGCCTATAGAAGAAATTGAAAACCACCACAGGAACTTAACTAGTTTGTTCTCCTGTTTTTAAAATAGAACCCAATTAATTTACTTTTAATATTAGAATTTTTTGTGCCAGTCTTGGGACGTGGACTCAGGGCCTGGACATAGTCCCTGAGTTTTTGTGCTCAAGGCTGGCACTTACCACTTGTGGACTTATTTGTATTTTTATTTTTTGTGGCTAATTGGAGATAAGAGTCTCAGACTTTCCTGTCTGGTCTGGCTTTGAATCAGGATCCTCTGATCTCAGACTCCTGAGTAGGTAGGACAAGCATGAGCTACCAGCATCCAGCTTACAGCAACATTTTGAAAACGTTTTCTTTGCCCCCCCGCCCCTGCAAGTACATGCCCTTCGCTCTTTTTTCTCTTCTCTGTTCTCTCACTTCTTCTTTTTCTTACTATCTTGTTTTCTTCCTTCTTTGCTTTCTTCCTTTCCTTTCTGCCTTGCTATGTTCCTTTGATTCCTTCCAGCCTCAGTATGCCATTGTGTGGAGGCTCTAGAGGATGGTGATAGTGGTTTTTAGTCCTACCTTTCTCTGCCCTTGAGAGGTCAATGCTGTCACTTGCATGATTGCAATTCCAGTCACTGTGAAGCCCTGTGGCTTCATTTCCCACAATCCCCACCCAAGAGTGAAAGGAGCTTTCTGTGAGTGGACTGCAGGTAGGAGAGGAGTTGCTAGTGCAGGAGCTGTCACTGACTTCCAGTTTAGTCAGCTGCTTACAGTGGAACGTGCTCCACTCTTGGGCCATAAAACCTATGCTCTAATGTGGAATTCTACTTACTGATGCTGCACCTAAGCTGAAATCATGGCTTCTAAGATGATAGGAATGAGTCCAGTAGTAGGAAGGTAATCCTGGGGACCAGGGCCTGCCTTTCATCCTAATATACAGACCTAAGGGTTCTTTAAGTTAGAGTGAACCTCGAGGAAAACCTCAAAGTTTGTGGGAGGCTGATGTCATTCAGCCTACACCTTTGCCTGTGTGCCCTCCCCCACTCTTAAAGTCAGTGGCTGATTCTGAAATGTCATCTAGGTGACATCTCTCCACCCCTTCACTTACTAAATCCCCACAGCCAGCTCCCTGAAGATGTTTCCTGACAAGTTGGATCAGGCGATGCTGTGATGAGCTGGGACAGGAGGGGCAGACCTAATGGGACGTGAATACCAAGGATGATACATAGGATCTGACAGAGGAAGCTTTTACAGCAACATGCTTACTCTCAAACTATTGTATGCTTACAACTTATCAGAGGTCCCAGAAAGAGGAAGGAACGAGGGAGAATGTAGGAACAGCAGGAGGTTTGGTTCTTCCAGAGAGAGTTTATAATGAAAGTTTATGAAACCTTACAATGCAAACTTAGCACAGTCTCCACCATGCATTAGCAATGATATGAACTAAATAGTCATATCATTCTGGGGAGGCATAAGCATATTGCTTTCCTTGTTTCATTTCTCACCATCACAGTATTCCATGTTCAGTACTCTGATTATTCCATTGTGCACATGTGGAATTGAGGCTTAGGTAGGGTCACTAAATTTCCCACACTTGTCCTGGGCATTTTGGTAATGTCTATATGTCCTGCTGTCTATCAGCGGTACAAGAAGAAAGACAGAGGAGCCGGGAGCGAGCTGAGAGTGAGGCAGAATGTACCAGTGGTGGCCATGAAGACATGCCTGTGGAGAGGATTCTAGAAGCTGAACTTGCAGTGGAACCAAAGACAGAATCCTATGGAGACATGAACATGGAGAACTCAGTATGTGGGCTTAGAGCTCCATCCGTCTTCCATTTCTTGGTTGGGGCTGGAGATGGGGGGGGGGGGGAGAATGTATTTGGAGTCCTAGAATCTGTCTCTCACCATTGTTTGTTCCATTTTATTCAGACAAATGACCCTGTTACCAACATATGCCATGCTGCTGATAAGCAGCTTTTCACCCTTGTTGAATGGGCCAAGCGCATTCCTCATTTCTCTGACCTCACCTTGGAGGACCAGGTTATTCTGCTACGGGCAGGTAAACCATATCAGGTTCTTTTGTTCTTGGGAACTATCCTCTATGCTGCCATTTTGAAATTACCATTGGGATTCTACAATAAGCAATTGAATGGAGCTGAAACCCAGCTGAGCTGTGGAGCATGTCAACAATGATCACTCTCTCTGAAGAAGGGTGTTCTTTTTTATTTTACTTGTACTCTCTTTCATTTGGATGGTTCCCTCCTCCCCCAAAAATCTTTCATTGCCAAATAAGCCATTGTTTTGTTTGTTCCTGGAGGAGTGGGATTCTTTCCATGCAAACATGACACTTTTGCATTATAATTTGCATTGAATTTTCAAAGACTTTTAAATCATTTTCATTGAAGATAATTTGAAGCAGGGCTTTGTTATCATAGCAAAATTGGCAAATGGATAGAGTTCCATCTCACAGGTAGGATAAGAAAGCCAGAGACTTTCTCAGGCTTATCCTATAGAGACTTCAAGATCTCTTCCAATATTAAGAGTGTATGTGCTACATTCCCTCTTGCCTCTCATATGCAGTCTGTTGACATCAGCCGTATCTCCTCTCCATCACTGGGGAAATTTCATGAAGCTTGGCTGAGCGGTGGGAACCAGTTCACTCATTCATTCCCATTAGCTGAGTCAACTGGATATCGACTGAAAGCTGTTTACCACACTGGGTGTTACTGTAACACCAAAGAAAGAAAACTAGGTTGTCAGGTCCTGGGGACAGAGCTTCAGGGAGTGTTCGCTTTATCCACCATGGCAGCTAATATAGTAACTATTAGCTGGCAAAATTTCAATCTGTATTTGTTGACTGGTGAGGAAAAGAAAAAGTCCTTGTCCTCAAGCTGTCATTTTGGTCTATATCAGAGACACTGGGAGATGGATAGCAAAGTCAGGTTTCTTCTTTGTTTCTGTGTTTTCTTGAGCAAAGGTCTTAACCACCTTAGATTTCCAATTCTGCCTTTATTCCATGAGCTAACAAACATACCTTGGATGGAGAATAATGAAGCAGGAATGAAGTGGGTGTTTTCCCTCAAGGCCTGCTCTCTCTGCTCACAGGGTGGAATGAACTGCTGATTGCCTCCTTCTCCCACCGCTCAGTCTCTGTGCAGGATGGCATCCTGCTGGCCACAGGTCTCCATGTCCATCGAAGCAGTGCTCACAGCGCTGGAGTGGGCTCCATCTTTGACAGGTGTCTCCCTTATGCTTTCAGTGTGTGTGTGTGTGTGTGTGTGTGTGTGTGTGTGTGTGTGTGTGTGTGTGTGTGTCGGGGTGGGGGGAGAGGATGAATTCATATGGGGTCATATACCTGTAAGAAAGACTGGGATGGAGGACAGGCAGCCTCAACAGATGCATGTGACTATGTAGAGACCCTTAAGCACATGAAACATACACTTGAGGAAGAAGAAAGGGATTAAAAGAAAGACTGAGACTACAATAAAATGGATACAGTCAGAGGCCAGTATCATTGGTGGGAAAATGGAAGAGCCTGTTTATCCTGTTTTTCTAAAGAGGAGAGTGGATGATTGACATCATCTAGTAAACTCGGGATAGGGAAATGAAATGCTTATCCTGGGGGACAAGAATAAGAGAAAGATTCCACATGTATCTTCAAGAGATTGAGCAAGGTAGGCTGAGGTTTATAGTGGAGTCTGTAAATCCCTGGGGGAGGTCTATAACAGGACTACACCCCTGTCAATCAAACAGTGACACCTGGACAGAGGTTCCATGCTTTCCATGGTGCCAAAGGAAAATGAGTAGATTAGTGGTTTGGAGGTGAGAAAATAGAGAGCTGAGAAAGTTGAAAATAGTTTGTCCAGTTCCCAGGCCTCAGGGTTCCTTTCTTCCTCCATCATAAATGGTCCTTTGGGGGTCACATTCATGACCATGTAAGGGATGTCTACTTCTTCCCTGTTTTTTCTCATACTGGCTTCCAACATGATCTTTAAAACTTGCCCTATTGCTGAATGTTGTCCCCTTGTGGTTCTTGTAGACTTTCAGTGTACTAGCCTTGCATTGTTCATTGCATTTCTCATTTCCATGTCTCCCAAGGTGCCATTTTGCCTCCTGCTTGCAATGCATTGCTTCCTCCTTACTGTGCCCTTGAACTTGGCTCATGGCAGTTCTTTCACTGGGCTTTGCTCTTGTATCTGTGCCTGTTTCTTTAGTCAAACTGCACTCTCCTCGAGATGAGGGCTGCGTCTTATTCCTGTCTGTACCCCTAATACCTGAAGCACCATCTGGAAAGTAGGGTGGTTCCATAGCAAGTGTCAGTAAAATCCATTTGTTGGCTCATTTCTTGGAATTTATGCTTCTCTCCCTACCTGTCCCTGTTTTTTTGTGAACAGAGTTCTAACTGAGCTGGTTTCCAAGATGAAAGACATGCAGATGGATAAGTCGGAGCTGGGCTGCCTGCGAGCCATCGTGCTGTTTAACCCAGGTGATTTTGTTTAATCCCAGTGGCAGTTTATCCCTCCTCCAAAACTGGCCTCCAGGGTTCTGACGATTTTTTTTTGGCTCTCTTGCTTGGCTGAGAGATATAGAGAGAGCAAGCAAGACCAGAAATCCAGAAGAGATCATTCTTTATTTTTGGTGAGACTGGGGTTTGAACTCAGAGACTTACAAATGGGCTACCACTGGAGCCACACTTCCAGCCCCAAGTGTCAACCTGTAATGGCGTTTACTCTAGAGTGGTCTTGAAAATGTCTGAGCCAAGCATGAAGTATGCGTAGTTGGAGGCAGCTGGGGAAGAAGAGAAATAACAGTGAGCACCATGGTAGTGAAGGAGGTGGTAGAAAGTGGTCAGATGCTGGGTATATTTCTAGGCAAAGCCACAGGGATCTGCTAATGGATCTGCTAATGGATGTAGGCTGTGAAAGAAAAGCAGGGGTCAAACATAACTCAGGATTGTTTTCTTTCCTGAACCATTGGGCAAATGGAATCCTCATTTACTGAGATTGGGAAAACTCCAGGGAAAGCAAGTTCTAACCGTGGGCGAATGAATCATGATACTGTGTTTGAGCAAAATTCAGAGATGATAGATACTCAGACAGCAGATATATAACAAGCAGTAGGGGCTGCATGGGAGAATCCAGGAACATAGAGATGTGAGAGCCATAGCCTCTTCCTGGCATGGAAACTCCTGAGCCTGGAGGTAAGGTCACCTGAGGAGAAAGTAGGGATGGCAGAGAAGAGGGCAGGGACTGAAGCCCCCCCCCCCCCCCCCAGCCATGCTGACTCTTGAAATCAGAGGGACAAGGAAAAGTTGCAAAGGAGCTTGATCAAGAGAGGTTCTTCAGTAGACAAGGAGAGACCAGAGAGGGGCATTCTGGACATTCAGGGAGGAATGGATTTCAAGAAGGAAAAGTGATCAGCTTCATCAGATATTGCTATGGATCAGAAAGACTCGTCTTCACAATTAGGAGAGTAACTTGTGCCCATACTGCATCTTCTGAAGGAGGGAGTGTTTGGTGCTTGGTTCAGGGCACATGCAGATTCATTCTTTGTGCTCACCTCATCACACAGGAGACACTGAGGAAATGTGTGACAAGAGTACTTCTAGAACTGCCTGAATAAAGTAAAATTCTCCTCCTTGGAGACGGTGGCAGGCACACTTGACTATTAACAATGAAAAGTGTTACTCCAAAAGTTGATTTCCCAATTCTCCCCAGTCGGATCTCTCCTAACTATGGGAGGTGGCCGGTATGGTGGGGACATGCATGGAGGTCCTACTGAGTTGCCAAGCAGAGACGAAATCTTTTTCAGATGCCAAGGGTCTATCCAACCCTTCAGAGGTGGAGACTCTGCGGGAGAAGGTTTACGCCACCCTGGAAGCCTACACCAAGCAGAAGTATCCAGAACAACCAGGCAGGTGAGAGAGTACTGTGAGGGTAATAATAGCTGAAATGACTCCTCCCTATTACTGAGCCTACTGTGTAACAGGCACTGTTTAGATGTTTCTAGATGTTACATAGATCTTACTAAACAAGGCAGTAAGCCAGGCACTGGTGGCTCACGTCTAAAATTCTAACCAAGTCAGGAGGCTGAGATCTGAGGATTGAGGTTCCAAGCCAACCTAGGTAGAAAAGTACATGAGACTTTTATCTCCAAGAAGGCAGAAGTAAAGGTTTGGCTTAAGTGGTTAAGCACCAGCACTGAGTGAAGAAGCCAAGCTAGGGTATAAGGTCCTAAGTTCAAGCCCTACTACCAGCACAGACAGACAGACGGACAGACAGACAGACAGACAGACAGACAGACAGACAGACAGACACACACACACACACACACACACACACACACACACACACACACACACACATGAATGCTAACTCCATGATTTAGTGCTCCAGAATAAGCACTTGAAGTAGTAACAAGGAAAAATCTAGTAACCCCAAATCTGTGGGCTCACAGTCACAGAATCCCCAGATTCTGCAGCTCACTTTTAGTTAGTTGTTTCTGTTACCAGCAGTCAAACACAATCTGAAAACATTAAATAGAAAGTCCCAGAAATAAATAATTCATCAGTTTTAAATGACTTTAAATTACACTAATTGTTGCAATTGTTTCGATGTTTGTTTTTAAATTTGCTTATTACTGCTATTAATCTCTCACTATGTCTAATTTATGAATTAAACTTTACCTTAGCTGTGTGTGTGTATGCACACACACTATATATATGTATATATATACTTGTATATATATGAAAACCTACATATGAGTTTTTCAGGAGGGGTACAGCGATAAGGAGGGTCTATAGTATACAACTCTAAATATTAGGCAAACCAATGGTCAATGTGAGAATCTTTTTCCATTCTAACAAGCAACAGAGGCTCAGCGAGGAGCAGTGACCAGTGTAAGAAGGTAAATCTGGTCTGTGGTGGAGGTGAAATGTGGACCAGGCCAGCTATGATTTCAAAGAGCAGTGTGATATGACCGCATTGCTGTATGGTGTGCCCCATGGAAATCCCATGCAGTAAGGCAGGCTTTGTGAGCCAGGAGACTCCTAGGGATCTGTCTCTCTGGCCTAGCTAATCTATTTACCAATCTAGCTACTCCGGAGTCATTTATATAAATCTTGTTTCTTTTCCTTTCTTTTTTTTTTAAATCTTTAAGTAGTTGTACAAAGTAGTTTATGAATACAGTAAATCTTGATCAATGTCACCCCTTTCAACATTCTCACCCATCCCTCCCCTACCCACCCCTTCCCTCACTTTCTTGATTTTTTTTCTTGAGTTTTTTAGGACATACATTCTCCCCCTCTTCTCCTTTTCATTCATCTACCACGTTCCCCTGACCCTTTCCCACCCCTTTCGAGTATCCACTTCCTGGTGTTTATTTTCTTGCAAGTTGCACTAAACAAAAAACTTTCCCTCCCTTCAGACCCTAGTTAAAATGAGGTGGTCTTCAATCCCAGAAAACTAGAAGTGAAACTGAAAGACCGTTAGTTTTTTTGTCTTTCAGAATAAATTTTACAGCACATTCTCAATGGTGACTTGTAATCCTCTGTGATGTCTAAATTCCATTTCGTTATTTGTTCTGGATCACAAATCAATGTATTGGAAAGAAGTTGGGTCGTGTTGGAGCCTGTAAAGAAATCCAAGCTGAGTGGGTTTCAGTTCTTTGGTGCAATGAATGAGTAAACAGGTTACTACATTAGAGGCTAAGCTGTAATAATAGACCTAACAATAGTCAGTAATTTAGCGTCATTAGAGATTTTCTTTCTCATTCATTAATTTGGGTGGCCAATCATTTTCAAGGACACAGCTCTCTTCCACATGGTCAGTTGGGCACATAGACTCCTTCCTTCTTGTAGTTCTGTCAAGACCCAGAGCCACATTGTGGTTTGTATCCAGGTGATGGAGGAGGAAAAGGTGCAGGAGCAGACAGGGGTGGCAGGAGTGGGGTGTTAGGCTATGGGAGGGAGACATAGTTCCTAAACAGCCCTCATCACTCACTCACTGCCACTGGCAAAGCTTAGTCACAGGCATTGTGTCTCTGAGGTCAAAGAGGAAGGAGCCAGGGGAGCTTAGTAACTACCTGGCAGTCTCTCCATCTGCACCAGGTATCAAGGGCTTTGGACAGCAGTACACAGTACCTGAAAGTCCTAGTTTGGACTTTCTCTGGAATCTTCCAGCTTTAAAGCAACATCAGATGGGTTTCTAGTGCACGTATTGTAAGCAGAGCATACTATCCTTTTTCTGGAACTGTGGTTCTAGGTCCTGGCTATTCATCTTTAAATAAAACTCAATGTTTTTACCAATAGATGTGGCTCAGTGGTAAAGAACTTTCCCAGTGTGTATGTGGTCCAGGGTTTGATCCTCAGAAAGGTAAAACAAAAACTAAAGCAACAATCCCCCATCCCTGTTTATAAGTGCAATGCCTGCTTTGGTAGAAAAACAAGAGTCATTCCTTAAAAACCAGATAATAAAATTTGATAATATTTGGGTATATTTTGTTCCAATTTCCTATGTGTCTATGTATATATATATGCATATATGTGTGTGCATATATATTTATATGTGTATATGTATATATGGCGTATCTATGTATACATAAAATATGTATTCACATGTATGAAAGTATATAATTTGGTGTATTTTTATCCTTTAGACATTCAAAGAATTTTTAGTAAAAATACATAATCATTTTCCATAGTTTTGTAAAGCGTTGCAATGTGGATTTATTTTTATGTACTCAGTCATTGCGCTGTGATTGGCCGCTAGGCTGTTTCTACATATCACTTTAAAGAAATCTTTGGAATTTGACTCTTTCTGAAGAAGGGCTGCCAGGGCCTGGGCTTCCTCCTGACGCTGGGTGGAGACGCCAGTCCTTATTGCTGAAGCTCAGGGAGTTGGCAGAGCATTTCTTATAAGCAGGAAAAAAAATCAGCAACCATTTTCTTTGTTTTGGTTTTTGTTTTGTCATGCTGGGGATTACAACCAAATGTTTCACTGCAGCTGCACCCCAGCCCCTGTACCCCATCCCTGGGCTTGTCTAGCACAACATGGACAGAGGGTGATTACTGTGTCTCAAGTTTGTGGGAGGCTCAGAGGCACATCAGGGTGTCACTTGGCTCACCCAGGCAGGTCAGTCACCCAGCCAGGAAGGCTGCTCACCTCTGGCTTGCAGAGACTGGTTATAGTGAATGAATCCTCACGCTGCCAGGTGAAGCCATTTTCTCAGTGGTGGAGTGCTGCCACTCAGTGGAAATTCTCTGGAAATGCAATTCATGGTGTCAATCTCTTTGGGGAGGAAAAAAAAAAAGCAGAAATCAAAAGTCAACAGGGTGCACAACTCACACACATTCTCTTGTACACACGGCAAATACCTTCAAAGGCCATGAGTCTCCCGTACAGCCAACATATAGGCAAGCAATGGCAGTCCCATGAGTCTGCAGATTAGTGGATGCTTTCTTCCCCTGATCTTAATTCTGAAATCCAGGACAGGTAGCGAAGAGATGAACACATCAAGTTAGTTAGCATTTTGCATATTGGAACACAGACATTTGAATAGTTAAAATAAAAAATTGTCAGAGTCAATCTTTTCACTTTATATATAATTGTTTTTTGTCAGTACTGGGCTTTGAACATTTGCTTTAATACCTGAACCACACCTCTAGCCCTTTTTGTTTTAGTTATCTTTCACATGGGTCTCTCACTTTTGCCCCAGCTAGCTTCAGACAATTATCCTCCTACATATGTTTCTTGCCTAGCTAGGATTACAAATTTGCATGCCTGGGTTGTTTGCTGAGATGGAGCCTTGATAATTCTTGGTCAGAGATGGCCTTAAACAGTAATCCTTTTGATTTATACCGCCTGAGTATCTGGAAATACAGATGTGAGTCAACATGCCTGGCTCTAACTTTGTACTTTGTAGGGAGGCCCTTTTCTTTGATGAATTCCATATACTACTTCATTGGCAGATTGGTAGGATGGCAAAATGCTGTCAGGAGCTCAGCTTCCTTCGTTGGGAACTGTCCCTTGGCCACAGGTGTCACTCTAGGTGGCATTGCTCAGATGCATCCTAGTGCTTTATCATTAAGTTTGTTTGTCTCCCTTCTCTTACCTCCCCCCACCCAATTCTAGGGCTTGAACAGCCTGTATGCTGTCCCTGAGCCTCTTTGTTCCACTTTCGTGCCCAGGTTGGCTTTGAACTGTGATCATCAGACCTCAGCCTGAGTAGCTAGGATTACAGGCATGAGCTATTGGTGCCCAGATGCTTTGAAGTTTCATGTTAGCATTTGCATAGACTTTCAGCTTTTCCATGTAGAAAAAAACAATGATTCCTACTTTTGTATGTGGTCAAGTTTTTCTTCCATGGTTACATTTTGAAATGTCATGTGGCATGAATATCTAAGTACACACACTGAAATTCCAATATCTATTTTTTTTAATGAAATAATGGTTCAACTATCAGTAAAGATCCTGGTCTCCTCAGAAATCTCTGATGTAAGGTGTGAAAACTAATGTGACTTTGGTCCCTGCACTTTTTATTGAAGGTTGTGAGTAGAATGACGATCTCTAGTAGCATTCATAACACTAGAAATGAGCTTCACTGGCACGGAAGGATTTTGAGAGACACAGAGAGCTATACAGGCAAAGTGAAGACTTTCACAAAGCTGGGGTCTAACAATGGGCACACATAGACAAATTCTTCCCCAGGCTGGTTGCTCTTCCTTTCGTGGACCTCATAATGAATATCCTCACCTATAGAAAAGTGTATGAAGCATGGATATGTGTATGCTTGTGCCAGTCTGTGTCTTCATGATGTAACCCTGTGTGAGTGTGTCTGCATGGGAGTGTACACACATGTATGTGCAAAAGCAGCCAGGACATGTTGCAAGCACAAGTATGAGGGTATATGAGAGAGTTGAGTCTGGGGCTGAATAGCACACAAGTAAGGCGCATGGGAGGGTAACACAAGAATCTGCGTGTCCATGTTCATGCAAGTGTGTGAATTATCTCCCCACATAGATGTTAGGACCTTCAGCAGCAGACCTTCTTTCCTCTCCCATCTCTTTGAAACTTATAGAAAGTGCAGACAAAGAAGCTGAGTAACAACTCGTTAAAAAATTGAAAATAGATGGGTGCTGGTGGCTCAGGCCTGTCATCCTAGTTTCTCAGGAGGTGGAGATCTGAGGATCACAGTTCAAAGCCAGCCCACGTAGGAAAGTCCAGGAGACTCTTATCTCCAATTAACCACCAGAAAACTGGAAGTAGAGCTGTGGCTCGAAGTGGTGGAATGCTAGCTTTGAGTAAAAAGAGCTTAGGGACAATGCCCAGGTCCTGAATTCATGACTGACCAAAACACCAAAATTGAAAACAAAAAAAAAATATGTTGATAGAGCAATCTGAAATCATGTAGCCTAAAGCTACTGCACCCTGTGGAGAAGAGTGACCACTCCTGGGATCAGGACTGATGAGCAGTTCTCAGTCACTTTTGTATCCTCAGAACCTGTGGTGGGATGCCTGGCAAGTAGTAGGTACTCAAGCATGCTCATCTAGTGCTTGTGTCTGCCATGGACCCAGCACACCCACAAACCATGCCCTGTTCCAATGGCTTCTGCTAATCTCAGCAGAAACTCTGGGGAACCCAGGGAATGTGCAGGTCACCAACAGGGAAGTGTTGGCCCTGAGGGTACCATCAGTCACCTTATTCTCCTCCACCACCATGAATAACATGGAGGGAGGTGATTTCCCAAGATTCCCCAGAGGTCAGAGGTTCCCCCTTCTCCTTTAAGACTAACTGACCCTTTTGCCTGATTCTGAGGCTCCCTAAGATGAAATCTCCTACAATTCTCATTGCCAGGTTTTCTCGCACACATACATCCTCCCCTCCAGCTTGCTGCCTGCTCTCCCTGGTCAGCCATGCCCCCCTGATTTCCCTGCAGGTTTGCCAAGCTGCTGTTGCGCCTTCCTGCTCTGCGCTCCATTGGTCTGAAATGCCTGGAACACCTCTTCTTCTTCAAGCTCATTGGGGACACCCCCATCGATACCTTCCTCATGGAGATGCTGGAGACCCCGCTGCAGATCACCTGAACCCCACCAGTCACAGCCTCCTCACTGGGGATGTCCCCTGCAGATGCGTGTGGAGCCCACCCTGCACATCCCTTCACCCCCCGCTGACCTCTCCCTGTTCCTAAAATGTGATGCTCATAATAAAGCCAACCTTTCTACATGCGAGACTTTTATAGGTGGAGTTTTGTATAGATGGGGAAGGTCATCCTTCTTTGCTATCTTAAGGGGCTGAGGTCTTTCTGGAAGTTCTTGAGAAAAGTAACCAAGCCTCTGTACATATCACTGGGTTAAATTATTTTTTCACTTGTCATGGAAAAGCAAACAAAGAGAAAATAAAAGAATCAATGTGATATTGGCACTGTTTGGAGCACTGGTGTGTTATTGTCTTGCTGGAAGTTCTCTGGGTGGTGGGAGGGAGCAGGAGGTTTTGGTAGGGACTGGGCCCCCCAGGGAGATTGCACATCCAGAGCTGCAGCCTGGGTCTAAGCCGGGCTTCCAGCAGCAGGGTATCAGCTACTTGGGGGCTAGGCACAGCCAGCTTTGCCTTCTGGAGTCCCCTGGGGAAACCAGAAAAATATTGCCTTTCAGAGGCAACTTGGATTCTTGTTTTCCTCTTTTCCCTTAAGAATAATGAACAGAAGGAGCCTTGATCTGATTGGGGGCAATTGTGTATCAGGCCCCCCCCAAAAAGATGTCTTGAGAAGTTGATGGAAGATCATGGGAGTTGGTGAAAGGTGGTTACAAAGGAGTAGGTTCTCTGTCATTACCAGCAATAGAGGAAAGACAAAAACACCCGAGTTTCTTTCCCATTGTTACCAAGCCCTACCTAGCCTGTTTTTGTAAGGGAAAGAAGGAAATGTCTGCCAGCCTTAGGCTCTCCAGGTTACCTAGGGGTTGCTAATCAGCACAATGAGCTCCTTGAAGGAGGATACTGGCCTTCTATCGCCAGCCTATGTGGCCCATTGTTTCTAAGGCACCATTCAGCCATGGGCAGAAGTAGGGCTTAGGATATCTATATATCTGTCTGTCTGTCTGTCTATGTATGACTTACAGAGCCATATAAGTATACAACCTGAACCACTGTCCAAAGCAATCCAGCTTTCCTTCTCTGCACCAGCAGAATCTAGCCCAGCATCTGATGCGCAGTGAGCACTCAGGGATGTGTATTGTTGTGATGGCCTTCACATATCTGAAGGGAACTCTCTCGTGGCATTGTGGATGGCAGTGGCCTCATCCTCCAACAGCAACCTGACCCCTCAGAAACTCTTGGGCTAAGTCATGCTTTCAAATCCATCTGTCAGCCTGGCATGGTGGCATATGTGCTTGGAAGGCTGAGGTAGAGAATCACAAGTTCAAGGCAAGCCTGGGCTATATAGGAAGACCCAGTCTGGGGATAGGAAGTCCATCTCTCAGTGGTCACACAATTGTGGGCCCCTTGAGGGTTCCCTTAGCCTTGGAGCAGAAACAATAAATGCGACTTTAGTTTGCGCCTTCCCATTGTTATCTGCATTGCCGTGAATCAATGAAAATGGTTGGACTACAGTTTCCCTGTATGCCTCCTGACCTCTGCCCTGCCAGCACAGATCACCCAACACATTTAACTGCTTTGGCTGTAATAGGGACCTGCTTCCTGCCACTGAGGTAACCTGAATCCCTTTCTGATCCTTGTTCTCGAATCCCGGTTCTTGCTTGCAGTACAGTTCAGGTTGACTGAGGCCCAGAACTTCTACCAGAGACTTTCAAGCTGCATGGAAGCCAGGCTGGCCTGTCTTCACAGGCTGGTCCCATGACTCCAGACTGGCTTCCTTAAAACTCAGGGTGAGCAACTGAGAGGATATATAGGCCTAGCTGGCAGGGTTTGCTGGGCCCCAACAGCTAGGCCAGCACCTCAGAAGCAAGAGCCTTCCTCTCTCAGCACACCTCATTCCAGGCAGCGTGGACTCCATGGAGACAACTCTGATCTATGATTCCTGAATCCCATGGCTCGAATTACACAGGAAACCTGAAAGGGGCCATCTTCATCTATGGTGTTCTTGACGAACGTGGGCCATGGCTCCAAGAAAAGAAGCCTCAGGATCCTGGGTTTAGCTGGAGCCTAGCCACAGAGCTGCCCACTGGTGGCCTTGTGTTTGGGTAGAAGCTGTTCGACCTCCCTGGCTCTCATTCCCTTCCTTAAGTTGCAAAAGTCAGGTAATTGTACCTTGTAAAAATAGAGGCAAAGGTTAGAGAGGCCAGGTTGAGAGCTTGGTGCTTTGGTATAGAACATTCTTAGGTCCGAGTTCTGCCTTGGCTGTTCTTGATGGACTTAAACCTGCTGTGCTTCCCCTGAGTAATCTGTGAAATGGTACATCTGTACCCACACCACAGCATTGTCAGCAGGATCACTTCAGTTGCAAGAGCAAAGCTCTTAGCACAGTGACTGACAAAGAAAATAGGCCAGGCACCGGTGGCTCATGCCTGTAATCCTAGCTCCTCAGGAGGCTAAGATCTGAGAATCACGGTTCAAAGCCAGCTCAGGCAGGAGACTCCGTGAGATTCTTATCTCCAGTTTACCACTAGAAAACCAGAAGTGGCACTATGGCTCAAGGTAGAGCACCTGCTTTGAACTGAAGAGTGCAGGGACAGCACCCAGGCCCAGAGTTCAAGCCTCATGACCGGAAAAAAAAAAAATAGGAGGCTGGGAATGTGGCTTAGTGGTAGAGTGCTTGCCTAGCAAGCATGAAGCCCTGGATTCAATTCCTCAGTACCACATAAACAGAAAAAGCCCAAAGTAGCCCTGTGGCTCAAGTGGTAGAGTGCTAACCTTGAGCAAAAGAAGCTCAGGGACAGACCATGAGTTCAAGTAGTTCAAACTGGCAAGAAAAAAAAAGAACATAGAAAAAAGTATATTACCCTTTTTCTGCTGAAGAGTGATATTGTAATTAAAACATGATTTTGTAATTTTAAGCTACTGGAATCTTCTATTCAACAACCTGTCCTGGTTTGTCTAGTGAATCATCCAAGGTATCAAAACAGTTCTTGGTTTAGCTAGGTGTTGGTGGCTCATAATCTTAAGCTACTCAGAAGGCTGAAATCTAAGGACTGTGGTCCAAAGCCAGCCCAAGCAGGAAAGTCAGTGAGACTCTTATCTCCAATGAGCCACTCCCAGAGTGGAGTGGTGGTTCAAAGTAGTAGAGCACTACCCTTGGGCACAAAAAGCTTAGGGACAGTACCCAGGCCCCAAGATCAAGCTTCAGGACTGGCACATGTACACACATGCATATACACATGTGTATGTGTCCATGCACACACACTGTTTCGGGGGTGTGGTTTGGATTTACTGCTTCTATTTAGGTTGTGTCTCCATGAGTCAGTGATGGTAATGGAAATGCTTTGTACAAGCTGTGAGGACCATGCATGGACACGGGACTCAGACCTGTGGATGTGTCTTCGCAGCCAGATTAGAGCAAGCTAGTTCAGGGAGGCACCTTGCGCTGGTTACAAACAAGGGTTCGGAACTGCCCAGCTGGTCTTGATTAAAACATCTGAATGCTGGATAACCTTAGCCTGCTGACTTAACCTCATAAATCTTAGTTTTCAACTTTGTAAATGGGGAATAATTAAGGTGCTTATTCCTGGAGCTTGTTGAGCCAATTAAAGGAAATAATCAATGAAAGATACACCGCTCATGCTCAGCCCATGAGAAGCTCTCAATTAATTTTACTGCAATATCTATTCCAAATATTTTTTTCTAAGGGATTCCTGTTCTGAAAAGAAAGTGCTAGATTTGGGAAAACCTCTTTCCTAGAGCTAACTTGTTCTTATCACCACCCTTACCTGAGAACTTCCTACACCCTAGTCTCTGTCCTTCATGGTAACAATCCACCAGAAGCACATGGAAATTACATGAAATAAATGCACAGTAGCATTTTGTATACCACTGAGGATGATTAAAAAGATGTCACATGTATAACAAATATTTCTTGGCCGTCCCCATTTCTTTGCATTATCAGTCAGGGAAATTAACAGAATGACATTCAGTTATCATTTTATATTACTTCCTTACTGAAAATTGTTCAGTGGCTTACTTCTGTCTATTGACCAGTTTCACCAGGAGCCTAGAAAAGATCAATTCAACTTACTGGTGCATCAAATTTGGTACCTAATTTTCAGCTATGCTAATCACGTGTCTACAAAAGAAAAATAGTATGTTGGGAAGATCATCAGATATATTTGACTTTATATTTGGCCCTGAGAATTTAGAGTACCATGCTTGTCATGTTATATAACATATTTATGAGTCATTTTCTGAGAAAATTCCTTTTTTATTTTCAATCTAATAATGAAGATGTATACATTCTGGATATTATAAGAAAGTGTTTTTAAAGTATTAACACATATTTACAAATATGTTGAAAGGAATGCAGGCTCAAAATGCTAAGGAGATGTTGGAAGAGAAGAAAGACATGTGTGTGTGTGTGTGTGTGTGTGTGTGTGTGTGTGTGTGTGTGTGTGTGTGTGTGCTACTCTCAGATCAAGCAATTAATTTCCTGGCTGATAAGGCTGTATTATTTTTTGTGGGTCATGGGGCCTTAACTCTGGGCCTGGGCACTGTCTCTCAGTTCTTCAGCTCAAGGCTAGCGCTCTACCACTGTGGTTAATACTATTTCTGGCTTTTTCTGCTTATGTGGTACTGAGGAATCGAACCCAGGGTCTCTTGCATGCAAGGCAAGCGCTCTACCACTGAGTCACCTTCCCAGTCCCTGTTTTGTTTCTTATTTTTTGGAGGTATTATTGTTTTTAAAGCTGGAGGAGTTATGCATGGTTGCTCATAAGCTCAAGTTTTCTTCCAAACAACCACTGCTACAACAGGTTCAAACTGTATAGAGCCAGGGCAGAGCAACAGCCACTGAATATTGAGAAACAGGATCCTTAAAGTATATGATACAAGAGGGCTTTGTTGTTGTTTTCTTTTCTTTTCTTTTTTATAGTGTACTGTTTGCAGTTATTTCTTTTGTCTTTCCTTTTTTTCTCTCCTCTAATTTATTCCCTATGGTCACTGTTTCTAATTTCCGTGCCCTATGTTTTGTATATAAGCTTATCTGATTTGAGGA